ATATTTCATCCATCCCTATATAGTTTAATTTAATATTCCATCCATCCCTCCCGGTACCATTGATATATTTTAACTGTAAATACATAAAATCAATCCATTCCATATGATAATAAGAACTTTTTAATTAAGTAGTATAAGTTAGTTTTGGAAAAAAGATTACATTTTTTTAATTGGTGCGAAGCAAGCAATTTATATAATTCAGTTTGGAAGGAAAAAAAAAAAAAAAAGACACCTCCATTTTAGTGAACAGCTAAATGTATCGTTAATATTTTAATTTGGCAAGCAATTTTGGATGCTTCCATTGGTTTTTATATTTATTTATTTTTTTATTTTTTTTTTTAAAGAGCAGAAAGTATAAATTCTGTCATGTGCACTAGCACAATTCTTTACACGGTGGCGACCTGTAGGATACGATAACAGGTCGGGGGTGGCTGTCGGAGCTGATATGATGAATAAGAACCCCGAAATCAGCGATGAAGACGGCTTTCATCACTGATGACCACCTTTAAGCATTCAAATGTATTTTGCGATATTGAAGTCTCGCTACCAATTTCACTTTCGCCAACTAGGCCATCAAATCACCTTCGCCACTGAACGTTTCCACCATATCAACAGTTACTTTGTGATTCCCCTCCATGTCATCACTGCGCTTATAACAGATATGTATGCCGAAATAGATTGTAGATGTTGTATTTGTATTGTCTTGTCTTTTTGTAGAATAACTTCCTTTCTATTTTTTTTTTTTTTTTTTTTTTCAAACTACAAAACCAACCACTGATGACAATGCCTAATGATTTAATCGAATACTGCATCATTTGTCATACAGGTTACCAAGGGATGCATGCCTCCCTTAGTGACATACCAGGCTAAAGTTGAAAAATCTTCTACTGGCAAGGAAAGGTCTAACCAACAACCTATCAACAACAACTTGGTAGTGAGTCCATTGCACATTTGGGATACAACTTCTATTGGACTGGCCTAAAGGAGAAAAGACAACATGGAGGTAGAATTGCAGTGCACAAATCATTAGATATTGTAATTGATGACATCTTACACCAGCCAGGAAGACTGATGGCTGTAAATCTGTGTCATATTAGATATTAGTTTGTCATAATTAAAAAAAAAAAAAAAAAAAAGTGTTGCTTCCAAAAAAGAGAAGTTCTATACAAAATTATTTACGCTTTGTGTCCTAAGAAAAAAAAAAAAAACTGTACATTAATGGGGATTTTAATGCTGCCTCTAATCTTTTTGAATGCCACTGCTCCTTTGATGATAAGAAAACGTAACCCTTTGAGACAGAAGTCTCAAACAGAAATAGAGAACTCTTTAAATTTTTGTTATTCAAAAAGATATTCCATCCTAAACACATGGTTCAACCATATTATGAAACACCAGATTACATGGCATAGCCCATATAATGTAACCAAAAAGCTTATTGACTTCAGCATCTCGGACTCTTGCTTTAAGTAGTTTGTAACAGATGTTAGAGTATACAACTCTTATTTTGAATCTGATCAGAGAGTTGTAACAAATCTGACATTACCAGCCAACAAAATAGCTTACTTCCATTCACATGAACCATGAAAGATATCTAGGTATAACATCCACCCCTTAAAAATAAAAGCATAGCAGCAGAATTCTGTAATAAATTAGAGTTCAAAATGATGTTCCTAAATATTGACCAAAGCAGTATAGATGAATTCAAATGTAATCATATACTCCTTAGCCAAAGCACAAGACCATTCCAAAAATGCCTAGACAAAAAAGAAACTCCAATGGAATGACAATGCTGAGTTGAAAAGATTATTACATGAAAGTAACAAACAGAAGGAAAATGGAAGCACTAAACAATTAATAAAGAAAATAAAAAAGGCCAATTAATGCGCTGAGAAGCAAATATCTCTAGAAAATTGGAAACCAAATTAATGAAGCCAAACAACATAGACAATGTGTTGAAATGTGGAGAAAATAAAAAAAAAATCAATATCATCATATAGTCGAAACTAACACTGAAGAAATGTTCTAATTTCAAAAACACTTTGGGTCACATTTCAACTCTGACCACACTGAACTAAAAATGCCTGCAAAAATAGAACATCTACCAATATACATCCAATCATTACAAAGTCTGTCTCTAAACATAAACAATAATGAGCCTAGTGATGTGAAAGTTAAGAAAGCTATATAAAAAAAAAAAATAATAATAAAGCATTACTTGACATTGATGTTGAACTTTTCAAAATGGCCTCACTTCTCACTGAATTCAATAAGTTTCTCAATTTTATGAAGGAAGTCTGGGATTGGAGATGCATCCCAAAAATGTGGGTTATATCATGCATTAATGCACCATGGAAACAAAAAAGGTAGTCCTCAAGACCCACATGCATACACAAGTATCTTGATTAAATCTATTGTAGCAAAAGTATTAATTAACATTGTATTAACTAAGCTCTCATTGTTTTATAAAAGTAAACTCTTCACAACCCAATTTTGTTTTCCTTCTAGTAAAAGGTGTCATGATGGCATATATCATCAAACAGAAAATAGTACAACTCTACAACAGAAAATTGTATATCTGCTATGTTGATCTCACAGCAGCATATGACTACATCAATAGAGACTTCCTCATCATCCATTAGAAACTATATACCAAGCTCTGACTCTATTGAATAGAGGAACTATATCAGTCCACATAATCATATATGTCTGGCAAGGTCCCCAATAAGAAACGTTTCAAACCTCGTCTTACTTATTATAAAACGCAGATCATGTGTGTGTCTGTACGTTTATATATTGGATCAGATTTCCTACATTTTTCAACCAATTTCAACAAAACTTCACTTTTTTTTTTTTTTTTTTTTTTTTTTTTTTTGGCAGGTAGTGTTTCTTATTGTTTTGCACACTTTTTCCTTTATTTTTACATTCAGAATGCTTTAAAAATTCTATTTACAAGGCAATTGTTTATAATAAAATTTTATTCAATCGGTAGACTCATAATGATTGAAAACAATGTTTTTGTTTGGGTTTGACCAATTCGTAAAAAAAAAAACTAATTAAGACATGCGTGTCCGTCAACCTTAAACAATAATCTTTGTCAATTTTATTTTTCAGTCTTTATGATGGTCGATACTTGATCTATCTCTTACTGCTACATCCCCGGGCAACACCGGCTCTACTGCTAGTCAAGAATATAACAAAGAGAAAATGAAACTCCCTGTTTATTTAAACTTTTCTTAGACTATACTCTGTGGATATACAGATTTGAAGATCATTTAAGCATTCCATAACACACCTAAATTGAATCTTCTAATAAAAAAATTGTTTTTGCTTTCTATTCCAAGGCTGGTGTACTGATTATGATGGAAGCTATGCTGATGATATAGGTATTCATAACTGGAATAAGAATAATTTTGAACAAATATCAACATCGTTTACCAAGTGTTCCATGAAATAAGACTCAAGATAAACCTTTCCAAATGAGCAACTATGATCTGCAATTGGAATGAAAGCATTGATGGCACCATCACAAAAATTCAGAATGTAGAATTAGTAAATACTAAACACTTCAAATACTTGTATAGGTAGGTTATAACAAATTTAATAAGAGATAAGGAAATTGAACATAGAATATGCTTTGCTAAGGTCAGTTTTGTACGACATTGCATGATGCTACAAAACCAAAACATTAATCTAAAAATGCCAGCCATGTACTTAAATAGTGAAAGAGATAATCAGCTAACTCAAAAAAGAGTTTGTGTTTTGTGTGCAATCTGCTGAAGAAAAATTACCAAAAAGTAGTTAGCAAAAATCTACTTTAAAGACCAGAATCTATGCTAATCTTCTTCCCTCCCCTGAATGGTGTGACTAATCAGAAAGATCTCTCGGTGAAAAAAAGCCATTGTTTTTCGCTTATGCGCATTAGATTTTCTGAGCTTGGTGGACAAACACGCGTTTTTGCTGGGGAGAAGTGAAGGTTGGATGTGTGATCCCATTTTGTTGTTTCTACGTTGCCTATTACGACAGACTACGGTTTGAACTGTGATTTGGCTACAAGTGTTGCGGTCGAGAGACAGAAGAAATCTATTGCAGACGTTTGTTGCTACTATAAGTTGACAGTTTTTTTTTTTTCCTTATTTTTCTTTTCTTTACAACTACAAATAGCCTTGTCAAATCAAGACTTTCATATGGATATCATGCACATTATGTGCCAATCTCGTTCAGAAATATCTAAACAGATGTATACAACTGCTTTCTCAGATGAATGGTTAAAAATGGCTATGAGCAAATTAAGCCTGTAACTCTTAGCAAGGATTGTTTTATCAAACATTAAACAAAGAGTTGTACCAAATAATAGAAACTACATCATTTGAAGACTTTCTCTCAACAGCAGCCACTAAAATGGATAGCACATATAACTCAAAGAGAAAATAAGGACAAGATGTTGATGTTCCAAACTACTTCAAACAAAAGTTTAGGAAGGAAACCCTTGTCACTACTAGAAAGAGCCATAAATGTTGACTTCAAAAACCTATTTTCCTGAAAAATTGTTTTAAGAGAAAGATTTTATAAGTTTCAACCAAAAGTTACACTGGTTGCTTGGTCAATGATTGTCAAATAGTTTCTGTTAAAGAAACAGCTAATATTACTGTTACCATTGTTCACATATACAGAATTTATATTCCTTACTGCTCAGATTGAATTATAAAGTATAAAATCCAACAACCAAGAATTGTTAAGGATTTCTATATTTACCTTAAAAAGAAAAAATGAATTAAAATTTTCATTGAATAATCAATATGTTTACAAATAAAATATAAAAATGTTTTTGTTCTTTTGGTAAAACTGTTAAAAAAAAAAAATGTCAATCTTCAATTGGCAGTTTTACTTTAAACAACCTTGTATAGGTATTTTATTTTTTTTATTTTTATTTTTTGACTGCAATATAATAAATATCCATGCATTAACTTAATTTTGCTGTCTTTTCTTCCATTCCAATAGCCATGGGGAAAGGCAGAACTTGGAGGAAAAGGGAGAGGCGAAATCAAAGAACCAATGAATCACTCTCTTGCCAGACAGAGTACATTTCTCTCCGAAAATGGATGAAAGCAGAGGGTAATTTTCAATGCCCCAAACTCATCCCTTACATTTTCTCTGGTAAGTACTTTACCAAGCAATGCTTTTATCATTGAATTCTCTAGGTGCAGCTATGAAAACCAAATTTGCTTCCCAAATCAAGTGTATTTATCTGTATTTTATCATTTTCAGCACTAAATATTTTTAATAAAACTATATTTGTTAGTCCTGATTTTCAGTATTAAGACTTTCTAAAAGAATATATGAAGTTTTGCTTCATAAATTTTCTTTTAAACTATGATTCTGTAATGTCAAACAAGCTTGTCATAAAGTCAACCATTTTGTGTGTTAGTATCTGACAAGATTTGTGCTGTCATAGATTAAAATGACTATTTGTGAAGATGTTAGAACAAAAATAAGAGAGTTGGAGTTTTCTGAATGATGTACTAACTTCCAAGTTACACACAATTTAAAACAAGTTTCTAACTGAATAGATTTTCACTTCAACTTTAAAATGCTCAGTTTCAATAGTTTGTTTTTCTAGAATAAATTTTTTTTTAAAATTTTAATACAAACCAACTTAAAGGCTCATAACTTTTAATTTTGTGGCTGCTCAGGAACAACTCTCATACATCATCAGGTGATATGATCATCTCAAACTAATCAAAAAATGATTATATTTTGATGATTCTTTTTTTTTTTCTTTTCTGAAAATTCATTTTGTCTTTTAAAATTGGAAAATATTTTTAGGTAGAAGCTTTACTCCCATCTTTTTAAAAATTCCCATAAAAATTTTTTCCCATTTTCACATCTCCCAATCTACACATCTCACACACTAATGCTTCTCAAAAACATTCATGTAGCCAAACTAAAATTTTATTCTATAATTAATACTCTGTATGAAGAAAAATGCTTCTTTTTTTTTTTTAATTCACCAACTAAAAATAATTGTTGGGGGCATATAAATATATGCAAATGTCTCTCTCTTAATACAGGTAAATATAAATGTTTAAATTATTTAAGACCATCATCCAACCCCATTTAGGCTGTCCTTATAGAATGAGATTTTTTGTTTTTCATATTATTCTACTTTACACTTGTAATCAATATAAACAACTTTAACTTAAAATTATTGAATTTTATGTCCTTTATAGCATTTCAGACTAAATATACACGTGTTGGAATTTCTAAATTTTTGATGAATCAGTAACCATTTTTGGCATTTAGTTGCACATGCAGGTTTTTTTTATAAATTCAATAGTAACAACTACCGAGTTGGATTAATTGTTTTGGGGAATAAATATTTAAAATGATATTCTTCAAAAGATGTATAGATAGAATAAGACCTGGTTAAAGGACTCGCAAGGATAAAGAATCATTGATTTTAATTTGAAGCTTATTTGCTGTATAAATAAATTAAATTTTGATTGATTTTTTTTATCAACATAATTGAGTCATAAAACATTTCTTGAATGTACAAAACTTTTTTTATAACACCTTAGAGTGGGAAAATATATATATATATATATATATATATATATAAAAAGAAGGAAATTACTGGAAAGTAATTGAAACTCACCTGAAGCGAGCTGAATGTGTAATGCTCCTCATGCCAATGACACTTCCACCGAGCTTCTCTACGGCATATGACTTCACTGAATTTTGATGTGTTCCTCTATACACATATATATACATTTCTATAACACCTTAGTGTGGGAAAATATATATATATATATATATATATATATATATATATATATATATATGTTTAAAACACATATGAAAATTGAAAAAGATTTTGTGACACATTTCATCTTTTATGATTACATCAGACTGTTCAATGAAATCCTGATCGATGAAACATGTCACAAAAACTTTTTTCCAATTTATCATACTATTTTTCTAAATACTGTTGATATGTAAAATTATACATCGTTGTATCATATATATATATATATATATATATATATATATATATATAGGAGCTGATATGGATTGTGGATGACATTCATTTATATTATATGGAAAGACTACTTTTAAATATCAATTTTATCCTGACTTTGAAGTTTCTTAGTAAAATGTCCAGTCTTCAGGGGGTTTTGGTTTTAAATGATATTTCCAAAATATATATATATATATACACACACATTTCTATATATCAGAACAATGATGTTAAGCAAATTAATTTTTTCCATTTTTTTTCATTCATTTGCCTAACACCTTAGTGAAAATATAGATTGGTTTATATCTTTTTATAAAGTTGAGTGAGAAAGGCTTAAGAAAACAAATGGCTACTGTTAGTTTTCAAAGGAAATAAAGTCAAATATCACCAAACTGAAAAGACAAAAAATACATTTGTACTAATTGAGGAATTGCTTTTAGCATTTAGCAAATTCTGTTTTCAGAAGCGACATGGACTAAATATTGATTACATTCTTATAATAAACTTTTCTTTTTGCTTCTCTCCTACCTAAGATCAGATACTCAGATCATTTGTAAACATCTATGCCAATGCTACAACAACATATCTGTGCACCTCTAAAACTCTTGATGATCAAAGATTGGCAGCTGACCTCTCTTCTGATCTAAGACTAACTTCCAAGTAGGGAAAAAAGTGCCTTTGAAATCAAACTAGTTACATCCTATCACTTGCTGATCCGACCCCTAAACTACTGCTAGTCACGATGAACAGATGTCCCTTTGGGGAGGCACCATGCCTTGAGAGAATATTGGTCCTCAAACTCACACCCACCCTCAAGTGGAACTCCTATATACGATCCATTGCTAAAGATGCAGATAAAATGATTGGCTCCCTGTACCACACCAGTAAGTACCTGACTCCTCATGCTATCCTCTGCCTTTACAAGAACCAGGTTAGGCTGAAAATGGAGTTTTGTTGTCAGATTTGGGTGGGAACTGCCCAGTCCTCACTTTCCAGTTCAAATGTGTCTCCAAGTCTTTGTGGGTGACAAATTATTTTCCTCTCTCCCACAGGTGAATTTTGGAAAATAGTTATACAATTTAAATATCAATAACTATAGTTGCTTTTTCACCTACAAAGCTAAATTATATACCATTTTAAAGTATGTGGATGGATCTAAAAGGTGATCTATTTATTTTTTTGTTTGTTCAGGAAAAAACAACTGAGATATTGATATTTAAGCTTTGTGACTATTTTCCAAGATTCTCCTTTTTGGCAAGAGACAAAGGGTCATATCTGGGGAACCCTTTGACCTAGAGATGTAAAATAGGTACCATTCAATTTCTATCAGGAAGCTTTATAAGTGTGTTGGGTTACCTCCTCCTAATTTTCAAAACTGCCCGTAGATGTTCTCAGGACTATAAATACTCTGCGCTAATTTTTTATCACTCTCTTCTGATCTTATTTGTCAGCATGTAAGTCTCTCAGGAAAAAATGTGTTCCCTTTTGGGTAACACATGAACAGTACATATATAGACACACATACACACCCTTTGACTCTTGCCAAAAAGGAGAATTCTTTCTTTTGACTAAGTGTGTCTTTTCGTTTTCCATGTCAACATTATCCAATATGCAGAAACAGGTTTTTGTAGGAGCATCTTTTAAAATTTTTTAATTTTGTGTAATTCTAAAACATTTCACTTTTGTTTATCAGCACTTGCCTTGATAAAGTCAGATGATGAAACACATCTGCAAGGACTAAGTACTATTTTCTGATTGTTCACACACACACACACACACACACACACACAATATATATCAAAAATACTTTTACAAACTTTGGGGGCAGTTTCCTATCACCAAAACCAAAAGTCCATATAAACACATATCCCCAAATCCTTCATTTTTGAGTTATGAAGTTCAAAGAAAGTTTACAGTAAATGACGCTGTGTTGCCATGTAGACTAGGTTACATTTGTCATTCATGTACATTTATGGCTAGTCTGTCTTTAACATTTAATGTGTGTCATAGTGATTTAACTGAGAACTGTTCCATTTAGCAATGACAGGATATTCATATTGTGAGCCACACAAATGATAATGGACAAGAGGCTGCATGGCTGTATCAGATTGCATTTCCAGATCAAATGCAGCTGATTCATTCAATCTTTTCTACTATTTATTGTCTTGTTGCTGAGACAGGATCCATGACACCACAAACTATGGATCAAGGAAGACAGAGATCCACTCATATGCCTGACTACAAATAACTCATTCTACAGGCTGTCAGAGATGATCCAGATATCAGCATATGTCTAGTGGCCTTAGCATGTCATACATCTCAAAGTACCACATGGAGGGTACTTCAAGAGCAGCTCCTGTATCCATATCATTTGCAACATGTGCAGGGTCTTTTGTCCTCTGATCACTCACCACGGGAGAACTTTTGACGATGATTTATTGCACACACTGCAAATCCATTGTTTGTCTCTTCAGTTTGTTTTATGGATGTGGTAACATTTGGAAGAGATGGAATAACAAATTTACACAATCAACATTTGTGGGCAGATCAGAATTCCCATGGCACAATACAAGCTAGACACCAGCATCAGTTTATGATTCATGTGTAGGCTGGAATTGTAGGTGACTGTCTGGTAAGTCCATATATTCTCCTAACACGTCTTGCAGGAGCTGTCTATAGGGATTTTATTTTGCACACATTTCCAGATCTGCTAGAGGATGTAACCTTGCTAATACAAAGATGCATGTAGTTCATTCATGATGGGGCTCCAGCACATTTTAGTCACATTGTTTGTGATGCACTGACTGACATCTACCATGAAAGGAGGATAGGTAGGGGAGGACCAGTTCCATGGCCTGAACATTCCCCCTCATCTCAATCCTTTGGATTTTTATCTGTAGGGGCCACCTAAAACAATTGGTTTATGCAGAAAACATTAATAATGCAAAGAGACTTCATCAACATGTCGGGGGGGGGGCTGCAAAACTATTTATTAATATGTAGGAGTATTTGGAAAGGTCCACCAGTCACTGACGGGTACATGCATTTGTAGAAACAAGCAGAGGACATTTTGAACATTTGTTATAAGCTGCTGTGTTGAGGTACAATGATGGCCTTTTTGACATATGTTTATATGGACATTTTATCTTGTTTTGGTGTCAGGAACCCAGCCCCAAAGCTTGTAAAAGTATTTTTGATACATCCTGTATATAATTAATACAAGTAAAAGGTTTGTCAATTAGTTGATTGATATTACCTTCAGCAGCCTGACTCCAGAGTTTTTAGACAGCTCCCCCCAGGAATTACTCTGTCCACTTGTCATTATATATATATATATATATATATATATATATATATATATAAAATATTGTGTGTGTGCCACTGGGGACTTATGGAAAGGGGTAAAATACTCTTTGGCTATAAATTTATTTCATTTTTTGCGTAATCTCTTTTGTTCTGTATTTGCATTTATAGAGTTTGAATTTTAGGTCATGGGTTATTAGTTTAGTTTTTGAAACCATGATGTGATTGTAGATAACATAATAGGAATTTGTTTTTATGTCTACATTTGGAAAGGAGCTCTAATCTTTTGCTTAAGACATCATTGTTCTGGAAAGATGATTATTGCTATATTTCTTATTGTTATTTTTTAATTGTATTTTTGAGCTTTCATAGGTTTCTTGAGTGTTGTACTATGTGTATATATATTTTTGTTAAATGATGTTTTCAAGTTCTTTCTGTTATTTCAACATTTTTTCTGGGTTTCCTTTGGATGTTACAATATCTTGATTTATATAGAACCAACACACAAACATGAACCACATGGTTTGAGGATTGCTTAAGACATGGAATAGCCAGTCATCATGCAGTGTTGATTTCTATGTCTACAGAATGGGGGGCTTAATAAGTTGTATTTCGGCATCAAGAATTCTCTCAAACATTTTTTCTAAATAATATGGACAAGTTCTGTCTATCAATTTTTTTATTACATCTTTCAAATTTCCAAAGTTGTTTTGTTTTATCGGTAAATTTGCCAAAATTCATATTAACTTTTAAGTTGTTGTAGTTACTCAAAAGTACTCAAAGAGAAAAATGATATAAAATAAAAGTTAATATGAATTTTAGAAAATTTACTGATAAAACAAAACCACTTATTTGGAAATTTAAAAATTGATATATAGAATTTGTTTATTTAACAAAACACACATACACACACTCTTTGCTTGCATGTTTTCCGCAAATGCCAATGATGACTTGTTTAAGTTCCAGTTTATCATGTCATGAGAAGATAACTCCCCCCCACCCTCCATCCTCTGAGCTTAATTTTCTATTTAGCGTAGATATGACACTTGATTGGTTGATCAAGGCAAACCCACAAGTTTATTTTTAATTCTGACCTTGTGTTTCTTCACCTACTCTATTTTTGGGAAAAGAGGTACACTTTTGAAATTTTCATTTTTCTCTTTGAGTACTTTTGAGTAACTACAACAACTTAAAAGTTAATATGAATTTTGGCAAATTTACCGATAAAACAAAACAACTTCTTTGGAAATTTGAAAGATGTAATAAAAAAATTGATAGACAGAACTTGTCCATATTATTTAGAAAAAAATGTTTGAGAGAATTCTTGATGCCGAAATACAACTTATTAAGCCCCCCCCCCCATTCTGTAGACATAGAAATCAACACTGCATGATCTTATAAGCAACAAAATACAGCAGTTATATTTTTCCTACCAAACTCTGAGATTACTATTGGGTTGACCAAAAAGTATGTTCATTTAAGTAGAAAATTTACTTAATAACCAAACTTTTTGGCCAACCCAATGCAATTTAAACTCACTGTATCTTGGGGAGCACCTTTATGATGTATGTAGCAAAATTACTTATTTCCAAGACAGTAGAAAAATTTTAGCTATCCCATTTTGATCAAACCTTCTTGGAAATTAGGCCTACAAAATCTATTTTCATTTTAAAAGTTACTACAGTTCAATTATTTGACTTGTCTTGATGCTTACATTGCTTTTACAGAAACTGGCCGTGGCCTGATGACTCTGAAGTCTTTGAAACCTGGAGATCTTCTCCTCTCTGTTTCTGACAAACTCATCATCACTTCAGCTACTGTTCTCTCCAGTGACATTGGACACTGGATCAAAAAGTAAGTCCATCACTTAATTCTAAAAGCTTTATTGGGGTCTAAACTGTTGTCTTTCGGATGCTGGTTAATTTAAGCAAGAGTTGGATGGTTTACATGTGTATTTATTTCAATCAAAACTTCTATTACCACCCCTACTTCAAACATTTCTTTACTGTGTCCATTTAACGCCTCGGCTATACAATGAGTTACCTCCCTTGTCTGAAGTCATACACGACCCTTACCCAAGTTGCTCAAAGTAATTAAATAAATCTACTGGCACATGACTTTTAGCAAAACATTTTCTTTTTAAATGACTATTTAACTCCAGAATATGACATGCATAATATTTACATTGAAATACCATATTTTGTTCTACTTTCAGGCATTGAAGATAAGATTTTAATTAGTAAATTCTTAACAATCAAGGGATCTGGGAGTAATAAGGCCACTTGTAAGATTTTATTTAGTCTATTTTAGATGAATATGTGAAGTGTTATGCACATATGTTTCTGTAGTTTAGCAACATATTTGTGTTCCCTTAGTTACAAAATTAAATTTTAACCTTAATCCTGATTATACATAATTTTAACCAAACATGAAAAACCTTTCATTTTAGTAAAAATCTATTGTATTCTAATTTTTAGAAATTTTGTCCAAGAAATAATGTCAAAATAAGATTGGTAAATAAATCAGTAAAGTTTGATGACATTTGTACAACTCTTTACTAAGCTCAGTACGGCACAAAGCTAAACTGGGTGATAAGTAGAGACAGGAAGGTTATGTTGTGTCAGATTTCCAAGTAGAGAAGGACTGTCTGCCTGGAAAATCAGCATTTGAAATTGGGGGGTTTTCCATGAATCAAATGCTAGCATCAGTGAACAAACTGCAGCTCCTTAAGCAAGTTCTTGATTTGTTTTTACCAAAAGATTGACAGAGAAGCAATAAGATCATGTTTGTGGGTTTATCTGCCTTGATCAGAAGAAACTGTAGTTCATTGCGCTTAAGACATTTTGTTGTTTAAGTCATTCCTATGGAAAATGTTACATTAAGGTCCTTTTTTATAAAATAGCATTCCAGTTTTGATTAATATATTCAATTTTCTGTTATTTCTTACCATTTGAAGGTAATTAATTTATTTAACAAAAAAGCTTCATTCCAATTGGAATATTTGAATTTTATTTTTGATTTAAAAAATGGCTTAATTTATTGAATTTGAAAATTTTTATGATTGTTTTCTTTTAAACTCACCTTTGAATGTCACTGAGAGAAATGGAGAACATTTTTTTCTTACTTTTCTTGCCACTGTTTTCCCCAGATGTGAGCCTCCATTAAGTGCACACCAGGTCTTGGCCATCTTTCTGCTGAACGAACGAGCAAAGGGGCCACATTCTTTTTGGTATCCCTACTTACATCTGCTTCCTGATAAATTTGATACTCCTGTCTTTTGGTCCCCTGCTATTCTGAACCGCCTCCCACACCCTGCATTGGCTTGTGCCCAAGCCAGTCTGCACAGCCTGCACACTGCCTATACCCATGTGTACACTTGGTGCAAATCTGTATGTCCCCATCTGGCACCTCTACTCTCATCACAAGAGGATTTCTTCTGGGCGTGGTATGCTGTCAATTCTCGTTGTGTCTACATGGAAGTACCGCATTCATCTTTTATTCAGGATGTTCAGAAGAATTATGCTCTTGTGCCTTTCCTTGACCTTTTGAACCATTCACCACAAACACAGGCAAGTTTAGTGCTTTTTGTTTTTTCAAGTCTCTGAGTGACTATATTAACTGAATATTTATTAAGCAATTTAAAAAAAAAAAATGATAGACTTTATTATACTACATTTTGCTTGTACGAAATATGTTTAATACTATTCTTGTCAAACTTCATACATGATCTGTCTTTGTATAGCACACAAGGCCAAATAAGGGTAGGAAGTTTGTGTTGTGGCAATTTCTTAAATGGAAAAAGCTGGCCTGCCTAGAAAATCAACTAGTAGTACTCTGGAATGATGGGAAATGGGCAAGCAGGCTACTATCCAGACTTGGTAGGGGGAGTTAAAGCAATATTTATAACAGTAAAAACATCACCACCAACACTTTAAAAAAAATCCCCTAATTTTTGTTTGTAGTCAACTCAATTTCACACAAGGTTACAAGTGAAGAACAAGTTCAGTAACTATCAGTTGGGGCATTCAGTGAGGCTAGAACTGTGCATGGGTACAGACTTAGTCAGTGAAAACGGGGTTAGCAATAACCAAACATTACTAAATAAGAACTAGATGAGACAGAATAGTCTATCCCTGTAGATTAAATAAAAGGGGTTCAGTTTAAAATTCCCTGAAGGTTACTTGGATCAACAGACACCTGAAGAAGGCACAACTGCTGAAACGTTGAAATAATAACAACAAAGATAGGGACATGTGTCCGACTGTAAATGATGACTTTCTTTTTTTTCCTCATTAGCAATCTGGTAAATCTGCTCTGAAATCTTTTTTTTTTTTTGTTTTTTTTTTTTTTACTCAGTTTGCACAAGTGTCAATTTCTAGGATTTTTTTTTTTTTTTTTTATCTTCTTTTAGGTTTCTGCCAAATTCAACAAAGTGAAGAAAAGTTTTGAACTTGTGACTGAGAATAGCTTTCCCAAATATGGACAAGTATTTATTAAATATGGCTGTCACAGCAACACAGAACTTGTGGTAGAATATGGCTTCGCTATCCCACAGAATCCATACAATGTGTATGAATTCTTACTAGGTTAGTCTTTTTTTTTTTTGTCAAGATTTTATTTTCTGTTAATTATGTATCCACACAGAATCTCTGACCTGCTTGTCTCTTTGCCAGTGACTATTTCCCCAGCAAATTTAATTCAGTCTTGAAGTTATTTGATGTTGAGATAACTTTGATATTCCCAACTTCTTTAAATATTGTTGTAGTTAGGAAAACTTGTTTTTGTCTTGTATTGATCATGAATAAATCTTGGTAAATGTCTACGGGAAAGTGGTCACTGGCTCTGAATATATTTTTCTTTAAGATTTCTTCAGATTTGCAGACTTAAGCAATAACTATAATATTGATTGCTGTGTTCTTTTCAACCATATTTTTTATTTTTCAAGTTTGAATTTTGTATCTTTTTGATTACTTTTTTTTTTTTCTTGCTTGATCTTTGTTATACATTCAGTTATATTTTAGATTGAAAATTATTTCACTTTCATTCCTTGTTAAAAGTAAAAACAAAAATGTTTTTAAAAATCTGCCCATTATTATTTTTAAATCAACATTTTCCTTTAAAATAAAGTTTATTAATGTACTATCAAGATTAGATACTCAAACCTCTTGCCTCTCTGTGTATTTCTCTGGAAAATAGCTGCCATTTGCCAAACACTTAAGCATTTTTTTCCCCAGAATAGCATTGTTACATAATTCATAAGTTAGCTTTTTTGTTGTTCATTAAATTAAAAACTGATTTTTTTTATTTTTTGCACGGAAGGAAAGTTTTCTAAAAAGCACTCAGAATTAATGAAAGCATTCAACAAAATTATTTAAATGAGGTCTCATTAAAGATGTCTGCTAATGAAAGCACAATTTTTTTTATGGTGGGATGCCACATAAAAAAAATGAATTAACCAAAAAGAAAAAAAAAAAACTTTTTGCAGTAAATGTTGAGCACAAATAATAAAAGCAGGCAACCATTTCAGCACACACTGAAATGCATATATATTAGTTGCTATGTCCAATATGAATCCTTTTTTATCAAAACCAATTTATTTATTTTTATTCTTTTTTAAATCCTCACTTTAGGAAAGTATTAAGATCAATATTCTTTCATAAAGAAAACCCTCAACCGTTATTAATCAAGACTTGTTGACAATTATAAATCCAATTGTTATATCATCATTATGGCTTGTATGAGGTTAATGTTCCAAACATTGATCTTAGCCTCTATAGTCTAATCATAACAACTTTTTATACACTTTGGGTCATGTGAAGAAATAAGGTAATATGCCTATTATATGAACCATGAATGTTCTTTTTTTAGATTACTTGAATTCCTTATTGTATTTCACAATGTTTATTTTCAGATGATATCCTGACTGTTGCAAAGAAACTTAATGTCACTTGTCTTGAACAGAAAGAAAAGATATTATATTCAAATCAATTTGACACGTAAAGAATGACTTTATTTCTCTTCATGCTTATGAAATGCTAACTAAAGAAATTTCTGTTTTATTAGACTTGCTGTTAATCTGTAAGTAAACCCTTTTTGCTTAATTGCATATTCCATCTCCCTGACTTGTCTCAATTCTTAAGATTTGTGTAACATTATTCAGTGATAAAGTAGATTTGAAAGAGAAAAAGTTATTTTAGTTCCAACCTATTTCAAGAAGACAAACTTTCAGCAAGTGATCTGTCTACTTTTGTGTCATAAAATATTCTAAAGCAATTCATTCAAACTAGGATCATTGTCAATAACTGTCAACTTTAACCTTTTAAGAATCAATGCATATCTTATCTAGAAATTAGTGCTAATTCCTGGCAGTGAAAGCTTCAAATGATAAAAATGCTTTTCTTTTATGTTAACCTCTAAAATAACAAGAAATATTTTATAAAAGAAACAAAACACATCAATTGCCTATATTTACACACTTTAAATCTGTTGATATTTCAGTGGCCTAACTTGTGTGGATGATGAAATTTTTTTCTCATGGAAGCTGTTGGCTGTGGTGCACATTTTACTCTTACCGTGGCCCCAAATGTAAGTGAAATTTTTATTTAATAGGAATATGAAAATTGGTGCATCACAATCCTCAAGTGGCCCTGCCTATTCATTTACTCACAATACAGCAACAATAAAAAAAAAGTGTGAATGATGTAAACCTACATCTTTTAGGGTCCACTAATGGATTTTGCTGTTGAAATTTTGTAAAGAAATAAAGATGTCTGGTTTCAAATTTATGAGGCTGATTTTTTTTTTTTAGACAAAACTGGAAGAGTTCCATATCTACTGTGTCCTTGTCATGTGTGTGCAGAGAGAAAAAACTTTTAGCTATGACCCTCATCCAATTTGCCATAGAAAAGCTCCAAAGGCAGCAGTCACAAACTGACCAGTCTGTAAGCTTTAACTGCTTTTTTTTTTTTTTTTTAATTTTTTCCTTACCAAGTTCATTAAACTGAGCATTCTTAATTTCATTTTTCTTCTTCTTCAGATATGTAATAATCATTCAGCCATTCATTATGAACTCTGTATGACCCTTTGGCAAGACAACTTCACCATTTTGGAAAAAGCTCAAGAAATTCTCACACCTTTGTAAATAGAAAGTAAATATTTTTATATATAATTTAAAATATACTTCAGTTTATTTTCTGATTTCATCACCAAATTACCTCATTAGCACTGAAATGAACACTGAAAATAAATGAACCATATTGATCTGACTTTTATTCTCACAAACAACACAAAAAATATAACAAGACTGAATTATTAAAACATTCATCTAAAAATACAAAAAGCTTTCTATTGCGTATCATAATCAGTCGATGATTGTAGGAGTTATGGATGGCGTTGTTGTCATGGAAATGAGCAGCAGTTGGGTGAGTGAGGTGTGGGCGGATGTGCATATATGTGAAATGGCTGGTGGTGGTAGGCCTTAAATGTTACAGAGAATTTCTTGTAAGGTTGGTACCTTTTTCAAATCCTGTTGTGCCCTGTGTGCTCGATGCAAGATTGGACAGTCAATGGAAATGCATGATAACATATCTCTAGCTCCAGTGCACGAATGACAAATCTGAAAAGAGAAAATCTCCACACATGAGGTAGTTATCACACAAAAATTGATTTCAAAATTAGATGTTAAGAGTTTTCTTTTAGCATTCTTAAAAAAAAAAAAAATTCTTTACTGACCTGAGACAAATGATGATGAATTTGCTGGAGATGATTAAGTTGATTGCTAATGGTAACAGCAACCATCTGGGGTTGAACCTTACATTTGCAGCAGATGTTCTCTTGGCTTTGGCCACTGCATACCAAACAGGTCATTGTGTTGAAGTAATGAGAAATTGTTGTCTACAATGAAAACAAATTTTACAAATTAACATTGGTAGCAATAGATTCATTTTTTCTATTTTGACCTTATCTTTAAAACAGTGTAAGGACAAATAACAGACATTGTTTTTGACAAATCTTGACAAGATCCCTAGAAAAGGGGATTTTCAGTGCAAGTTATTTTTGTGACTAAAAGATACAAAAGCTTTTCAGTTTTTTTTATAAAGCAGTTAATCTTACCTTGTTGTCTGTATTATTCTGAGTTTTGTATCTGATGACTTTGGGCATATCATAGTACCATTTGAATACATTGACTCCTATCAAGGAAAAGATGCGGTTCAGGGGGGGCAGGATATGTTTGGTAATGTAGTAAGCAGCATTTAGTCTGAGAGAAGGATCATCTAGAACCTCCCATGGCTGACGAACCAGTTGAATGAGAGGCAGGCCAGGTTCTCCATAGACAATCACATAAGGAACACGTTCACCTGACTGTGGTTCTGCACGGCGATCCTTACGAAGAAGTTTCCTTAAGAGAAAATGAAGAAAAATGTTAATGGCCAACAATTTAAAAACCTTTAGATATCATTCACTAGTTATTCTAAAAAGTGGCATAGCTAATAGTGATGAGAGGCAGCCCCTGCCCTCTTGAGATAAAAATAACATTTTTCAAATTTATATTTTGACAGCCTCATATAGAAACAAATGACATCTGGGAGCCTCTGATTAATCCACACTGTAAAATCCTGTATTATTGGTTTCTATGTTTGGTTAAAAAAGAAAAAAAATACTCAAATCTGCATTGCTTAAATCATCTCTGGTTAAATGAAAGAAATAGACAAGCAGCTTAAAGGAAAATAAACTTGAGATATTCTCTAAGCACAGAAAGCTGAATGAGTAAAATCTGCCTTTAAGGATTGAATAAAGGGTTCAGTTCAAAAGTAGGACAGACAACTGAAGAAAACTGAAAATTTGTGGATGTAAAATAGAAAGGAAAGATATATAATAATAATAAATCCTTATCTTTGCGGATTTCTTTACAAAGAGGCTATAAAAAAAGTTATTTGGTCTATTTTTTATTTAATAAGTGGACTTTGTATCACAAATTAAGCTCAATTTTGTGTAGAGTTTAAAAAAAAAAAAAAAAAAAAGACATTTTGGCTTAGGAAATGCTATACAAACAATGACTTTTTCACACACATCCTTGTGGACATAAAAATAGGTTATGATTTTATACTGATTAGGCCCCATCTATTAAAAGCTGAACTATTAACCTCCCACAATGAGGGATATTTAACACTTAAATTCTCTAATGTATCTAATCTGAATAGAATCAGAAAATTTACTGTTGCCTGATTAAACCTCATTTATTTTGAATTATCAAATTTGACATACATAAGCAGAGACCAATTGTCATATTGAGTGTAGCGCCCTATTTAAAAAAAAATTATTTAGTTACAGGTGAGAAACTCATACACAAGACAAAGGAACAGGATTTGTACTGCACAATAATGAAAATACTAAACAACAACAAATAGGATACAAAAATACATACCATGAAAAGAAATTAATATTTTAACATTTATACTACAAAACCAAATTATTAACCTAGGAACAATTTGAAAGTGGAAAATAGCTTACTTGGCAATTTCCAAAGCTGGTACACATGCAGCAGGTCGATAAGCATTTAAACCTCGATATTCTTTTGCAAATATAAAATCCTGCAAGTTAACTTTGCCTTCCATGATTTTGTGACATTGTTGCACAACATAATCTTTAACACGGGAAACATCACGACTAGTAAACAGGATCTTGATAGAACGTTCCAGAATCTAGAAAAATATAGTGAATAGTAGAAAGTTCTTTTACAGGAGTTGAATTGAGGAAGTTCAGTGGAGAAAAAATGCAGATGAAGCCTATTAGCTTTTTCATTAGATTAGTCCTTGCAAAATTGGTAACACTAGTAGTTTAAAGACCATGTATTTAATATTTGAACAGAAACAAATAAAAAAAAAATTAAGATTGCTATCTTCTTTCTACAAAAAACAAAAAAATTCCCTATTTTTATGTTAGTCATGATTTAAAGAATTGGCATGTTCAATTCAACTCTTGAGATGAGTTTATAGGAATTATAGCAAGAACTAAACTGTGTGTCCTTGTATTTTTCTATTTTCTTTCAAAGACTTGCAAAAATGAAAAAAAATATATATATATATAAATTTTTTTGTCTAGACTGTTTTTGATTTCCTTAAGAATTCAAGTAGCAAAGGAAGTTTTCAGCCTTCCTTTAGATCAGATATTGGCCTACAAACAGACCAAGGTTTTCTCAAAGAAAATCAAATGTTTCTAACGTGTGTGTACCTTGGAAGCAGCAGCACAACCATCTCTGCGTACAGTTTCAATTCCCTTAGCGTCAAAAACGGGCTCTTTTTGGTTTTCATTCTCATACATGAATCCAACATATCGTTTCTTGGTTTGCAACACACATGGAAGATACACCTAACAAGAGAAATAGACACAACTCAGAATGTAAGAAAATACTGACAATCAAATTGTTTGGAAACAAATCAAGAGACTATCAAATCAACATATTTTTACTAGTGTTTTTCTGCTTTCAAATTAAGTGCAGGAATTCAGAGAGAGAAAATAACAATATTTCATCTTATTACTTCTACTACTAGTAGTAAGTTGTCTAATAACTAGCCAAATCCCTGTCTTACAAACATTTATCTTAATAATACTTTTAAAATAATTCAGTGGGTGATATTTTATGGTAACTGGATTTTTGGTAATTGCCTTATTTTCTTTCTGTCATTTGACATTGTGCATCTGAAAAATGGTACTTTATCACAGTCGCTATCATACTCAGGCTTTTGGCTAATATCAAAGTGTAGTATCTGTTCTTATCAGCTTAATTTGATTCTCTATCTCTGTTGCTACTTCTATCTTCCCTTCTTTCTTTCATTTTCTCACTGAAACTGAGTAATGTCTTTCCATGTGATGAAAATGGAATAGTTCATTATTTATAAGATATTGGCAGAGTATAACAGCTGTGCAAACTAACAAGCACAATTATAATAAGATATGGGATAGGAATTCCATCAGGCTTTCAACAGCCTTGATAGTAAAGATATTAATATTGCTACATAATGTAATAAACTCCTCTTTGAATTTAATTGTTTCAAAATTCTGAAATGTTCAAATTGGCTGAAAGTCTTGTGATAAAAAAAAAAATAAAATCCTAGTTGGTACATTGAATAGAACTTCATTCATATTGTTCCCTACTTAGTCCCAAACAGGTTTCTTTTTGTAATTGTATTTATGTTACTAAAAAATGCAACTAAGAAAAAAAAAATTGTCTTAGGATCAAAAAAAAAAAAGAAAAATTGTTTTAGGATCATGTGCAATTTCTCTAATTTTCCGGTTTTCATTTTGTTCTAAAAATTCTCTATAATTGCTAGCTACTCATTTCCAAGCACAGCTATCTGCTAGGGTGGCTAGCCAATCCCTATTGCAGGTGCCTGCTCAGGCACATTAATGTTTGTTCAACACCCACAGAGCTCACCTGTGGTTTATATTGCAATACACTTTCAACTGGTATGATAACCAATTTGAACAAACCCCCCAGTTACAATGACTAATGATTTTGTGCTAGCACAACCATCGATGGCTTCTTAACAGTTCTGTCTAACCAATTTCATTCACAAGCCTTGGGTCAACTCGTGGTATGGTTTTCAGGCATTTTCCAATGGTGCAGCGTAATGGAAATACTTCCCCCAGGCCAGTAACATCAAGAAATAACTTAACTGAAAATTTGATCCTCGTGAGATAAGAACCAAAGTTATAACACCCCCATCTGTGACTTAATTCTCTAATCTTTCAAAAAAAAAAAAAAATACATTAAATCAAATAACCTTCATGAGAGTGTAAATTCCACAACCCCCAGTTGAAATGCATGCAGGTAATTCTGATTCTCACGCGGGAGAGAAAAAGATGGCAACAGGAATGGACTGAACCAAGAGCAACAGCATTCTTAGAGAGTCAACACCAGAATTCTTAATCATTCTTGATTTTTAAAGCAATTAACTAAATGGTAGAAAGAGGATTTAAAATACCTTGTCAAATATTTGAACTATAACACACATCAATAGCAAAAATAAATCCAGGGAGTAGAGAAAATAAAATAGATTCAAATTGGTAAAATATAGTTTTACCTTTTCAAATTTCAGTTTGACAGGTTTGGGGTTGTTGGCTGTGATAATATCAGCCATG